CGTCTGGTACAGGAGCCCTTCCAAAATCGGGTCCAAACCATCCTCCCAGCTTCAGCTCAGAGCAGGAAGTCAGGGAGCTCCGAGGACACTCTACCCATCTCTTTTTCTCCAGCACCCCACACGTGGCCGGGCCCGTGGCAGATGCTGATGGAAAACTTGGCTTATGCTATCATGCATGCATGGAGAGATGGGTGAAAACAGGAACGTAGGAATGCACAAACTCATCAGAAGACAAGCTACTTCCCTCACATCCCGGAACATTCAATAGATCTGAATTTGCCAGCGTCTACAGAAGTGGATCCTTCACTTCTAGGCATGATTCCTGTCCCCAAATGTCCTGCTTGACACCCAGAGAAAAGCCTCCCTGCTGCAGGCAGAGTGTGTGATGTGGCTCAGATCACAGGTGAAGTCGTGCTGGGGTGCGACGCTTCCCAGTCACATTTGCCAGACGTTTACCCAGCAGTGGGTAGGTGCCAGGCGCAACTCCGAGCGGTCCGAGACCTCTTGAAGGCTGCACATGGCAGGGGGCACAGAAGCGAAGGATCAACCAGAAAAGTAGACACTGGTGTCTAGGTGGCCATGGTGGGGCTTAGGAAGGGCTTTACGCAGGAAGTGGAGGCTCCAGGAAGGAGAGACGGGCTTTCCAGGCAGAAGGAACAGCAAGTCAAAGGCACGGAAACAGGAGAGCATGCACTGAGGAGTTTGCAACTAGCTCGTCGCGGCTGTCGTTTGGAACTGCTGGGCTGAGATTTATTTAGGCATGTTTGCTCAAAAATAAAATACGAAGGACCAAGTGGGAGGATTTGCGGAAACAGCAATGGCAGAGGACAGCAGAAAGGGAGAAACAGCCCCAAATGACCCCATTCGTTCTCCCCCGCACCCTGGCCTGTGCCTTAAAGACCGCCCAGACGGCGATGGCTCCTCACCCACCCATGCCCAGCGCGGCTCCTCCCAGGCTCCGATGTCCTGACACCTCGCCGTTGACCTCCTGAACTGGACTCCTCAACAGCTCTGCCCCAAGTCGAACTCCCGGAGGAATGCGTGGATCTCCACGCACCGGCTGCCTATGCCCCAAGCCTGGGCTGGCTGGAACTCGCCTCTCCTCGTCTCCACTTCCAGCCGGTTGAGAAGAGCCCTGTGACTCCCACCAGCTGCATCCGCCCCCGTCGTCCATCACGGGCGGCCCCAACCTGTGACAGATGCTTTCTCGTCTGCCGTCACCCACTCCAGCCCACTCTCCACCGCAACCAGAATGACCTCAAAAGGGTGACCCGCGGATGGCCCGAGGTGCTTGGTTGAAGGGTGCAGACATCTAGTCCTCAACTCAAGCAACTTAAAGAGACAGTGGGGGTTCTTCCGAGTCCAGGAGTCTGCACGCTCACAAGCCTCGCCTCTCTCTCTCTCTGCCATTGAGATGTGAGAACCATCAGTCGGCAAGGCAGAGAAGCCCGGGCTTCAGAGTCTCTTGAGCCAGAAGGGCCAGCTTCAACTCCTTGCTGTGTGCCCTTGGGCGAGCCACTGAACTTTCGTGTGCTTCTGCCTCCTCGCTGGGAAAGCCAGGATGGCAGTGAGCTCACGCCCAGGTTGTGGTCAGGACCCTGCAAGCTTCGCTCCAGGACTCCTGCCTCCTAGCCACGTGGGAGGCTGTGTTTCTACCCCTACGAACGTGGGCAGGGGACTGACTTAGGCCAAAGAAGCTGAGTGCGAGGGACACATGTAGCGTGTGACGGGCGCCTAGGGCGATGGCTGTCTACGGGCTCTCCTCTCTGGCCATGGCACCATGGACGTGCATGCAGGTGTGGAAGCACGCAAGAGGCCCCGTGGAGCCGAGCCGAGACATGCCCGCCGCTGCCCTCGCACTGGTGAGCAAGAGCAGTTGTGCACCGTGCTCAGCGCTGGACCTTCCCGCAGCCGGCCTGGCCCAGCCCCACCGAGGCAGCTTTGCCATCCTTGGGCCTCCTGGCCCGGGGTACCGGCTGAGCGCCGTGTCAGAGCAGAAGGCCAGCAACGGGGCCCAGTGGAAGCGCGACCTTCCCCTGGCCACCTTGAAACATGCGCCGGGTCATGGGCTTCTCTGGTGACAGCCTCTCCACTGCTTCTGACAGCGCTTAAGACAAAACCCACATCGCTGAGTTGGCGCCCATGGTCCTGCTTGCTCTGACCTCTGGCCCGGTCGTGCTGCCACCCACCCTCCTGCCAGCTGCCTGCTGGAGTGCCCTGCAAACGGCGCCCGCCATCCTGGCACGGGGCCCTGACCTCAAGCCCCGGGTGTGGCCTCTCCGCCCTCGCCTTCTCTCAGTTTCACGGCTCTACCCTGCGTCAGTCCCTGGGGAGGAAGGTGACCCCACTCGCCCGCCCTCTTCCTTGCGGTGCCTGAGGGCGGGGGCCTCACACACCCTCCCTCCTCACGCCAGTCCCTGGGGCCAGGTGCCCTCAGACACGTTTCCTCACTCCCCCTCAGTACCTGACTCCTGTCTTCCACACTGTTCCGCACATTAAATGTGCTTACCTGTGCGTGCGTTTCTGGTCTTCCTCCAGCACCAGAAAGCAGCCCGGGAGGGCACAAAGGAGCCCACCTCTCTGCGGCCCGTGGTTTTATCGGAACCCATGGTCCCTGGCACACAGGGCTGTCGGGTATGGAAGGGAGTGTGGGGCCGAAAGGCAGAAGAGCAGGGACAGGGAGGGAAGTCCCAGGATTCCGCTGGGTCCTTCTGGATGCACAACACTGACCCCAGCTGACATGCCCCAAGTAAATGGAGTGTGCGCAGCAAAAGTGATGAAAATGCTGAAGAGCAATGCTTTTTAAAACATAAAATGATGCTTTATTCCTTTCAGAAAACAAGATGAACTATGAATTAAGATGTAAGTATATTCCTGCCAAAATAAGTCAATAAAAATGTGCTTCAAAATCGTCTTTTATTGCAGCCAATGTGTTGTAGACATAAAAGCCCAGAAGCTGAGTTACAACTTTCATTTCAATCACTTCAATCCATAAAATCTGATATGCTGGGTCCAAGTGATGACATATTCCCAACTAGTGAAACTTTCCTTAGCTTAAATAAAAGCATTTGGATCACCAAGTAAATCAAATTCAGGTGTATCTGCACATCTCAAGAATAATGTAAATGGGTGAGAATGCCTGGTGGTGTACACGTCACCATTTGTAAAAAGCTTGGAGAGTCTTCTAAGTGACAGAGGGTCAGACTTTGTTTTCAAGGGCCAAACGCCGAAATGCATAGAATATTCTTCTCTACGCTCGCTCCTTAAATGTCCCGGACTGAGAGAGCAGCGACAAGAGTCACGGCTCGTCCCCAGCCCAGCCCTTCAGCCGGAGCAGCTCGCTCGGGGGCCCGGCAGTCGTCCTGGCCACCCTTGTGCAAGCGCTCCTCCCAACAGTCCTGCCTTCGCTGGCAGAATCACGTGCCACGAGTAAAAGGGAACGGCCACCGGTTACCTGCTCACTGTCTCCCTCCATCCCCTGCAAAGACACCAGAGGACTACCTGCTTGGACCCCCAAAGGCACATGAGCAGACCCTGCTGACTGATTCCTCTGGACGAAGACGTCTTCTTCCGTCTCGGTGGTGTTCAGAATCAAAGAGGCCGGGAGACCCTTAGGTGGGCAGAAGCCCAGAGAACCTGGTGACCAGACAGACTGTCCTTCTATTAGCCTCTTCCTGACATGGAAAGAACCCAGCTCTTGGTTGCAAATAGCCCATCCCTACTTTTTAAAATTGGCTGTTACTAGGGATATGTTACGGAGGGAAAAGGCACACTTAAGTTCCTGGTTCTCTAATCTCTGTTTTCAACGGGCAAATACTAGACTCAAATCTTTCTCTGCTTGAGAAAGCAAAAGATGAAGCATGGTCCAAGGACTGGCGTCGATTCGATTCAACCTGATTGCCTACCTGCATTTTAGGGCTCCCCAAGCTTTTCTCAATGCCAGAAGACAGACGGGCTGCCTGGACAATGAACGGCAAACGCCTGTGAGTCGCAGCCAGGCACTGGCACTGCCACGGCGCCCGATGAGCCATCAGTGAATAATACAGCGAATAACAGAGCTCTGCTTGTCTCTCAATCCCAATCAACTTCTGTTAAGTTTCCCACTCCACTCAGAATGAATGAATGTGTGAATGAATGAAAGTCTGACAGCCCACCTAACAGATGGCTTCTGTTGCTTTTCCACGGAGTACTCGGCTAAGACTACAAGAGTTTGAGGGGATGCTTGGAAGTGCAATGAAAGCGTCCACGCGTGTCATCTTAAACTTTTATTTGATTACAAAAGAAAATGGAAACAGGTTTGCAAAAACGTATCCACACGTGCACAGTAATCCCTGGAGAGGAGGGGCAGCAAGCCCATCAGAAGGGACCTCTCAGCATCAGGGCTGGTGGGAAGCCTGTGTTTCACTCGAGCTGAAAACCACCAAATGACTGGTCTACTTTTAAAACAACCAGATTCAGAAGGGTTGTGCCCAGCCCTTATCTTGGGTACCCGTGAAGCCAGTTACCAAGTGATCTCAGAGTTGGACAGATCGATTAAGCAAGAGGTAGTTTCTCCAAAAATGCCCCTTTCTTCTCTGAGCAAGAGCACTCCGATGAAGCAGGAGTCAATGGCGTCATCTTGGAACCGCTGTGAATTCTTTTTTGCTGGGGCCCCATCTCCCTCAAACACAATCGTATCTGTTTATTTTTTTTCATCTGAGGACTGAAGAGGACTGAGGACTCAATTTGCTTTTCCGATTCCTCTTTGAGCACTCTTCTCTGGAAAAACAAATGACCTGGCGGGCCGTTAAAACAGCAAAGGGAAACCATTTCTTCGGTGTCACAGATTAAGGGGATGAAAAAACAATTTTTTTGTCGGTATAACAATAATATCCACGTTATCCAAGGAGGAGACTCAGGCTGCTGAGACGAGCCCCCTCCAAGGAGCATACAAACCACACGGCACCATTTTCTCGAATTAGGGTCAGTGAGGCTCTGGCGACAGGTCTCCACTTCCTCCCGAGGCTGTCAGATCCCAGGGCCCCAGAGCTCCATGGCTTCCAGCTCGTCTTGGACAGGGGTGAATTCTGGCTGATCCGGGTGGGGGGCTAAGGAGGAAGAGGGGGTGGGACTCGATGGGACCCAGGAACCGTGGGTGGGGGCTCCCCCTGGCCTGGGTCCGGAGAGGTGCGGGTGAGATGCCCTGCTGGGCAGACACACCCTGCTTCTCACCAGGAGGTTCGAAACAGTTAGTAGAGGGCGGGGGACAGACGCACTACAGGAATGGTTAGGCCCTGAGAATCACAGGCAGTGGCTTAGGGCGTGTATGTTTTATTTGCAAAAGAAACCCCCCAAATGCGGCGGAATTATAAAAGAAATGTAAATTGTAAAACCCAATCCCACGTTAGAATTCAGCGCCCCAGCGGGACAGGGAGGGGAGGTGACCAGCCGAGAAAGGAGAGGCGGCTCGCGGAGAAAGACATTCGTCATCTTGTGGAGACAGTAGGCTGAGTCAGTGTTAGATCCCTTTATTCCAAAGCCTGTACGCGGGGAGAATGGGTTAAGCCCCGGGCACACAATCCTGTACCCCTACCCAGGCTGACAGAGGCCGTCGCTGTCTGTGACAGCTGGCATGGGGTTCACTGCACGTGTGTGGAACAGGGTGGGTGGGAGTGTGGGGCGAGAGGAGCCAGGGAGCAGAGGGGCGGGGAGGGGCGGGGAGG